AAATAAAAAATACATTTAAAAAAGTAAAAAGGAGAGACAATTGATAATCAGAAATTGTAAAAAGTACTAAAAGGGAAATAAATTGGATAGAAGAGAAACATTTTAGAAAACATATCGGCCAGGCCAGGCATGGTGGCACACGCCTGTAATCCTAGCACTTTGGGAGACAGGGTTTCCACCACATTGGTCAGGCTGGTCTCGAACTCCCAACCTCAGGTGATCCGCCCACCTCAGCCTTGGAAAGTGCTGGGATTACAGGCGTGAGCCACCATGCCCAGCTATTTGGGAGGCTGAGGCATGAGAATTGCTTGAATCCAGAAGGTATAGGAGGTTGCAGTGAGCCAAGATCTTGCCACTGAACTCCCGCCTGGACAACAGAGCAAGACTGTGTCTCAAAAAGAAAAAAAAAATAAAAAAGAGAGAAAGAAAACATTTTAGTCTCGGTGCAGTGGCTCACACCTGTAATCCCAGCACTTTCCAAGGCTGAGGTGGGCGGATCACCTGAGGTTGGGAGTTCGAGACCAGGCTGGCCAACATAGTGAAACCTCGTCTCTACTAAAAATGCAAAAATTAGCTAGGTGTGGTGGCGTGTGCCTATAAGCCCAGCTACTCTGGAGGCTGTGGCAGGAGAATCACTTGAACTTGAGAGGCAGAGGTTGCAGTGAGACAAGATGGTGTGCCTGGGCGACAGAGCAAGACTCCGTCTCACAAAAAAAAAAAGGGTCGGGGGAGAAAAGAAAGTATGTAGCATATCTAAATATGTTTAGAAAATGTATTTTAGGCCTTTAGTTAAGACGTTGGCTGGGTGCAGTGGCTCAAGCCTGTAATTCTAGCACTTCGGGAGGCCAAGGTGAGCTGATAACTTGAGTCCAGTCCAAGAGTTTGAGACCAACCTGAGCAGCATGGTGAAACCCCGTCTTTACAAAAAATTAGTTGGGTATGGTGGTGCACGCCTGTGGTCCCAGCTGGCCAGGAAGCTGGGGTGAGAGGATGATTTGAGTCCAGAGGTGATATTTATGCTGAGAGATGAAAGATGAATAGAAAAAGCCAAGAAAGCACATTCCAAGTGGAGCAAACAGCTTGGGTGAAGTCCTGGAGGCGAGAAAGAACTTAATACAATGAAGGAACTGAAAGAAAGCTGATGTTGCCAGAGCTCAGGGAGCAAGGGGTGGAGTAGCAAGAAAAATGATGGGGCTCAGGCTTGGTGGTTGACACCTGTAGTCCCAGCACTTTGAGAGGCAAAGGCAGGAGGATCACCTGAGGTTAGGAGTTCGAGACCATCCTGGCCAACACAGTGAAACCCCCTCTCTACTAAAAATACAAAAATTAGCTGGGCATGGTAGCACATGCCTGTAGTCCCAGCTACTTGGGAGGCTGAGGCTGAGGTGGGCGGCTTGCCTGAGCTTGGAGTTCAAGACCAGCCTAGGCAACAGGGTAAAACTGTCTGTACTAAAATACAAAAAATTAGCCAGGCGAGGTGTGTACCTGTCTCTACTAAAAATACAAAATTAGTCAGGCGTGGTGGCGCATACCTGTAATCCCGGCTACTCTGGAGGCTGAGGCAGGAGAAGCACTTGAACCTGGGAGGCGTAGGTTGCGGTGAGCCGAGATCGTCATAGCACTCCAGCCTGGGCAACAAGAGCAAAACTCCGCCTCGAAAAAAAAAAAAAAAATTAGCCTAGCCGGGTGTGATGGCACCCCCCTGTAATCCCAGCTACTTGGGAGGCTGAGGCACGAGAATCGCTTGAACCCAGGAGGCGAAGGTTGCAGGCTGAGATCGTGCCACTGCACTCCAGCCTGGGCGACAGACCGAGGCTCTGCTAAAAAAAAAATAAAAATAAGTAAATTATTTGAAATTGTAATAAGCTAAGTAATAAGTAAAAACTGGAGAAAAGCCATAACAATAATCTGGGAACAAGCTGATGTGACGGACTAAACCTGGCGGTAATGACAGAGAAAAATGAATAAATTCAAGGTATCTTTTGGAGGTAGAACTGACAAGGTTTGTTAACTGACAATGTGTAGTAAAGAAAAAGGGAGGAATAACTGCTGTAAACAACTCGGCCAAAAGAACTGAACCAGCTCCGCCCTTAACGTTTGGACCCAAGCGAAGGAAGCTGAAGGGGGAAAAAAAAAACCCAACAGCTTAGCTACCTGCAGGCTTCCGGTCTAGCGTCGCGAGGAGGCCGTAAATCAGAGAAACCAGTTTGGCCCCCTCCCTTAATGGGCGGTCCTGGAGACTGACAGGCCAATGGCAAGCGAGTAGTCAAGGGATAATCCAATAGCTCTGGAGTGGGTGGTGTCCTGAGGAATTGGGGTCGACTGGACTTCGGGCCTGGAGTTTGGCATTTCCGCCCACGTGGGAAGCTGCTGTGTAGATCCAGCTTGAATTTCAAGTGCGAGAGAGTCCTGGATCGCGAGTGATGGGTCCGGCGCCAGCTGGAAAGCAGCTGCGCGGAGCGACTGGAGGGCCAGAGGTGGGTTGAACCCCCTGGGAGGAACAGAGGCTCAAATTGCGCTCCCTTGGCTGCAGGGCCTGAGGTGGCGCGGCCTGACAGCTTGCGGGTGTAGGCCATGCGGGCGGCCCATTCTGGAGGATGCTTCCAGCCTGTGGCACTGAGACAGGGCTTGCTAGGGGGAATGGAACCTGGCAGTATTTGGACAGAAGCAGTAAAGCCAGTAGAGCCTCTACTCCCTTCTTGAACTCTGTACCTCATAGTTGAAGAGACCCACACTTGGGTCGTTTCCTTTCCTGGACCCTCCTTGAGGATAAGCGGATTTTCCTCCCTCTACAGAACTTGTGTCCAGTTCTGTGCTGCCCGCTGTAGCGGAGGGCATACGGTGCCTCTCCTGGAACACTCCAGTAAGGCTTTCTTGGGTGAGAGGGATCGTGGAGGGGATGGGCCCACGGCTGCAGGGGAAAAGTTTGGGATCCTGCACGCTTGCTTTTGAAGCCTGCTCATAGTACGTGTGTACCAGTTGTTGAACCTCGAGTCAGTAATGGGACTTCAAGTGTCTTCAGGAATAATTGTGAGGATTTAATGACTTACAAAATGTATCCTCTGGGGTCCAGTCGGTTCTAGCTCCTTCCATCAATGAGTACTTAATATATACTGAGGCAGTTAGGGCATCCTAGAGGAGGTGGAACCTGGTAGGATTTGGTTAGAGAGAGAATGGAAAAGAAACTACCTGAAAATACAAGTGGCTTGGCCATTACTTAGGGCAGAGCCCAGTCAGNAAAAAAAAAAAAAAAAAAAAAAAATAGCCTATGCTCTAATGTTGAGGTTATAGATAATAGATAATAATCATGACAGGTAAACTATATGGCAGTGTTAGAATGTGGTAAACATTGGAAAAAGGAAAAACTAGGACAAGCAAGGTCAGGAGATTGGGCATGTTGGAGGATGGGAGTGGTTTATAAGTTTAGGTGTTCACAAAATAGGCCTTACTGAAGAGACTTTTGTGTAAAGACTTGAAGTAGGTGAGTCAGCTATATAGATATCTAAGGGAATAAGAGCATTCCAGGAAGGGGGAAAGCCAGTACAAAGGCACAAAGGCAGGAATGTTCCAGGTACATTCCTTGGAATGAATGAGAAAGATAGAAGGAGATGGGTTTAAAAAGGCGATGGGGAAAAGTAGCATATCATGCAGGGTATTGTGTCCCAAAATAAGGACTCTGCTCTGGGTGAGATGGGGAGCCACTACTGAGTTTTATTTTGCAGAGCAGTGATGCCCTCTAACTTTTAAAAGTTCACTTTTCCTGGCCGGGCACAGTGGCTCATGCCTATAATCCCAGCTCTTTGGGAGGCCGAGGTGGGCGGATCACAAGGTCAAGAGATCGAGATCATCCTGACCAACATGGTGAAACCCCGTCTCTACTAAAAATACAAAAATTAGCTGGGCGTGGTGGCGCATGCCTGTAGTCTCAGCTACTCGGGAGGCTGAGGCAGGAGAATTGCTTGAACCCAGGAGGTGGAGGTTGCAGTGAGCCAAGATTGCACCACTGCACTCCAGCCTGGCGCCTGGCAACAAAACGAGACTCTGTCTCAAAAAAAAAAAAAAAAGTTCACTTTTCCAGCCTTAAAATGTTTAGTTTTAGAAAAGTTTACTCTGGCTGTTGTGTCAAAAGTAGAATGGAGAGGGACAACAGTGAGAGTTAGGAACTAATATAGGCACTGAGAGACATTGGCCGAAACTAGGGAGGAAAGTAGAGAAGTGATCCGTTTCTTTTTTTTTTTGAGATGGAGTCTTGCTCTTGTTGCCCAGGCTGCAGTGCTCACCACAGCCTCCGCCTCCTGGGTTCAAGTGATTCTCCTGCGTCAGCCTTCCAAGTAGCTAGGATTACAGGCATGTGCCACCACACCTGGCTAATTTTGTATTTTTAGTAGAGATGGGGTTTCCCCGTGTTGGTCAGGCTGGTCTTACCTTAGGTGAGCCGCCTACCTTGGCCTCCAAAGTGAGCCACTGTCTTTTTTTTTTTTGAGATGGAGTCTTGCTCTGTAGCCCAGGCTGGAGTGCAGTGGCACAATCTCAGGTCACTGCAGCCTCCACCTCCCAGGTTCAAGTGATTCTCCTGCCTCAGCCTCCCGAGTAGCCAAGATTACAGGCATATACCACCACACCCGGCTAGTTTTTATATTTTTAATAGAGATGGGGTTTCCCCATGTTGCCCAGGCTGATTTCAAACTCCTGACCTCAGCTGATCCACCTACCTCGGCGTCCCAAAGTGTTGGGATTACAAGCGTGAGCCACGGCATCTGGCCTGGGCCCGGTCAGCTTCTATCCCTACCAGTTCCAAACAGCTCCATGCTTGTGGTATCAGGTAGACACGAGAGCTCTTAACTCAAGGAATTTTCAGTTCAGCACTCAGTGATGTTCCTCCAAGTAATGATTCTCCTGAGTTTTACAAAATCTGACTCCTATTCAAAAGAGGGACCAGGAACAGGTGAAGACTTTGCTCACAACCTGTCATGATGGCACTTTAGGCAGCAGATGCTTGATACCTATGACCTCACATGGGCTTCTCCCTCTCTGGCCATAGGTGATGGAACCAGCCCTGGAAGGCAAAAGCAAAGAGGGGAAGAAGGCATCCTCTAGGAAGCGTACACTGGCTGAGCCTCCTGAGAAGGGCCTCCTGCAGCCAGTGAAGCTCAGCCGGGCAGAACTGTACAAGGAGCCTACCAATGAAGAGCTTAATCGCCTTCGGGAGACTGAGATCTTGTTCCACTCCAGCTTGCTTCGTTTACAGGTACTGTTGAGTGTCTGGGGCGTGGATTAGAGGGGAGTACCTGGGACCCTGAGGCTTACGGACTACCTTCCACCCTCTCTTACAGGTAGAGGAGCTACTAAAGGAAGTAAAGCTGTCAGAAAAGAAGAAGGATCGGATTGATGCCTTCCTACAGGAGGTCAACCAGCGGGTCATGAGGGTGCCCTCAGTCCCTGAGACAGAGGTAAGCAGGTGGCGTGGAAAACTGGGAAGCCCATGAGGGCCCATCCTGCCAGGTTCCGTTTCCTCTAGGATGCCCTGACTGCCTCAGTATATACTAAGTACTGTGAGGGTGACTCTAACAGGGGCCTTGCTGTTATTCTCTTTAAGGGTAGGGGTGCAGGGAGCTCATTCTTATGGCAAGGAAGCTTAGCTGGGAGCGTGGTCATCTGTGTATTCATTCAGCAAGTACTTACATGTCTTGTAGTGTTTGTGTTCTTAAGATATATCAGTAAACAAAATAGCCTGGCCAGGCGTGGTGGCTCAAGCCTGTAATCCCAGCACTTTGGGAGGCCGAGTCGGGTGGATCACGAGGTCAAGAGATCGAGACCATCCTGGTCAACATGGTGAAACCCCGTCTCTACTAAAACTACAAAAAATTAGCTGGGCATGGTGGTGCGTGCCTGTAATCCCAGCTACT